CTTGTGGTGATGACTTCCAAATTTTGGGGATAATAATAGTTATTGATTTTATTAATGAGTTAAGTCTTCCGCATTACTTTATGTTGATATTACATTGAAATGTTGAGGTTTAGATTGGTTGGTTCGCTCACATAGGAGGGTAAGCGTGGGTGCCAGTCGCGGCCCGGATTTGGGTCGTGACAAATTACCAGGATGATGACCAGTAATATTTTACAATACCCATATTCATACATTCAACAACTTGTCATTTACTGACATATTATGCACTGTTACCACATTCGTATAAGAGAACGGAGACAATCAATTGAGTAAATTTCATGACTTTCAATCAAAAGTATACAATTTTATGTTAGTTATTATCATATCATCACTATAAAACAGTAGCACTTAAGCTCCATGACTTATCCATATAAAAAGATCTTTGATTATAAATCAATGAGACTTGAACCCAACTTCTTATTATCGTGGCACATCGAGACTTTAAGTTGATTTCTTATACACTTGGTGTGGTAAAAATTGAATTCATAATCTTACCTCAACCAAATGTCTTGATAAACCAAATGCATTACCAAAAAATAAATAATTAATACCGTAAATATATTCTGAATTTGACTAAAATGAAAAAAAATGAACAAAATTAATTAATAAGAACAACATGTTGGAACCATATAAAAATCCCAAATTAAAATAAATTCAAACATTTTAATAATCTCTCTCAATATTGTCATAAAGATTATCATAGTTTAATGACCATTTTAATATAACCACAAAAGAAGTTTTATTAGTACAAATAATATGTAGGATATAATGTATACCTTGTAACCGAAGAATTATAGCATAAAAATCAAGAAATACCTACTATTGATTCTTGACGGAGAATGAGCAACTCGTGATGATAACGAGTTGTAAAACTAAAGTAAAATAAGACCAAAAAAATATAATAGATGAAAGTAATACAAATAAGGAGACAAGAGATGACAGCTTTTCATATTATTCCAACTCTTCAAAGTATTTACCAAATCTACAAGTGTGGACAATATGAAGCTTTATGCCTCCATTTTTAGTGTAACAAAGAGGCATACAAAAGGTTAGTCATAAACATTACATTAACATGAATATAATGGAGTAGGTTATGAAAGTGAAAGAATACAAGAATAATGGTTATGAAGCAGGAGGTTATAGAGGTTATGATTATCTTCATAATGGAGAAACGTAATGAAGTAACTCCTTGATATAGTGAGCATGCACAATATATTATTTTACTACAAATTCAATTTATCTTCGGTATACCAATAATTATAGTTAATAAATGGCCATAACTTGTTTCGTTCCTCACATGATTAATTAATAAGATCCATCCAGATAAAGCTTATGAAGGTAGTTAATCCTCAAAATTCTAATAATAAATACAAGAACTAATCTCGAATATTCCTAAAATTTATAAAATATTTATAAAGAGATCAAAATCAATTATCATAGTTCGAGAAATACGCTATTAATGGCCTTCGTATTATGGATATCAAGTTAAAATCATCCTAGTTCCTCGAATCATGGATAAATCTTATGAGAGAAGAATCAAAGAAAAAAAAGATCTATAATCAAGGGAGGAACAAAATTATACTCAAAATCTTGATGAATAAAAATAAAATTATGTTTCTTTCAAGATTTTATTTGTAGTTAATTTATTTTTCTTATATTTATAAATAAAAATAAAATTGTGTTTCTTACAAAAAAAAATACAAATACTATGTATATAAGAAAGATGAAGCAATTTAACTATTAGCTTTACACAATAACACAATACTCTTAAACATCTAAAGCACACATATCTATCACTACTTATTACTAACACACTCAACATATTTAGCCTGAGCTTGGATTATGGTGAAACCATTGCTCTCAGCTCGAACTATATATGCATACATATAGTATGTATATATATATATAAATTTTAAACACATTAACATCCCAAATTCGCCTCTAAATACATTCATCATATCTCTAGGGGTGGCCCGGAGTGTGGCGATTATTCGCACCCGAACCTGGATAGTCATTGACCTCAGTATCCATTCTTCTAATGACAACATCACCTAGTTTCATACACTCAACCTCCATATTCTCCTAATAAATATTTGACAAAAAGAAATAAAATTAAGGGGTGATATTGTTTGTTTGAAAGAAAGAAACAAGATAGACAAGTAGTTACCATTATTTGTGTGTTCTCCTGTTATTGAGTTTTGTACACCAAACTATTGCATCCTAACAATGAAAATAAGTATATTCAACGTAACCATTAAAAAAATATATATATTTATTGATATTAATTAAGTTGATATATGATTACTTGTAATTGGGATGGCTTCCAAGTAGATAACTTGAGAAAAACAAAGAAAAGCCAGAAACAAAGTGGCAGCCATTTTCCTAATTAATCAAGTGTATTAAGATTAGTGCTCCATTTTATACATTTCATTTCATTCTATATATACAAAAATATATATATAAAGCACTTCGAGATTGAGTACCTCTTGTTTGCGGCAGTCAAATCACAAATTAAAGTCAAAAAGGTTACTCTAGCTAGCTACTATCTTATGATACAAAGACGTGCACTATTTGCCCATACATATATTGTATAATATATAATAAAGATATACCATATGTGTGTATACTAACAAATCACAAAGTTTTTGTTAGCTATGTTGAGATATTTTAGGATTTTTGAATTTTAAATTTGACTGATTTTATGTTTAAGTTGGTTATTTAAAGATAACTACAGAGAGACCTTTTCGACTTTTTATGCTATTCCATTTGATTAAAATTATTATTATACTCATTAGTCTCAATTTATGTGACTTACTTTTATTTTTAGTCGGTCTCAAAATAAATGATATATTTGAAATATTACGTAACAGTTCAACTATAAAATTTCTATTTTACCCTTAATGAAATAATTTAAGTTACACAAATTTATATCACGCATTTCGGATCACAAGTTTTGAAAGTCTTCATTTTTTTCTTAAACTCCATGCTGAGTCAAACTACACAAATTTATATCATTCATTTTGGACCATAAGTTTTGAAAGTCTTCATTTCTTTCTTAAATTCAGTGCCGAGTCAAACTACCTAACATAAAATTGGATAGAGGTAATATTATTTTTAGCATATCAATTACTAATATTATTCTATAGCTTGCATTTGTTTGTTGATATACGTTTTTGTCATCCAATCTTTTAATCTAAAGTTAAATAAGATCAATCTCCGTTTTACGCTGAAACAATGAAAATATTATGCGTAGTTAGGTAAATATATGTTTGATACATACATCTTGATTTAAAAAAATTCAATTCATTCCAAACCCAAATTCATATAGATCTTCGATTTGAAAGCAAATTATAAGATTATGCATTTGATGTTCTCTCATATACCCTGATAATGCGAATAGTAATGACTTCGCGATTATTCCTACGTAAGCACGAACCAAATTTTTATTTTTCAAAATCATATAAAGTTCGGTTAAAATATTTCACATTTTTTATAATTATTAAGTTAGACTTTCTTCTTTGACCTTATTTCTTTCTTTCATTTACCAAAAAAGTAATTATATTTTCAACAATTTATCGTATTAAATAAGTTATATTGATATAGATCACAATGAAGTATGTAAAATTATCCTTTAAATTGTAATAGTCAAATACAATCAAAAATAAAATGATTGCATGATCCTTCACTAAACTAAACAAAAACAAAATTGAGGCTTACCATAAATCAGTAAAAGATTAGGTATGGATGACTTTACGGTGTAATGAAATTTTAAACAAATCTTGCAATATGTAAAAATATATTTAACACACTAAGTTTAACGTCTTCCAACATACAAATACCTATAAATTAAATAATAATAATATAAAATTTAAACTATAATATGAATCATCAAACTCAAACCCAATAGAGAATTACCTTTATATTCAAAATAATTATTTACCATTTGTTTCACTTTGCAAAGCCTATATTAAATAAAGTAATTAGCTAACTCACACTCTATAATGAAACCAAAAATAAAGTAAAGAAGAGTGAGAAGCAAAGGGAAAAAGGGGAAGGGAGGTTGTGTGTTGTGTTTTACGAGGGAATGTATAGGAAAAAAGAAACAGGTTAATAGGAAAAAGAAATGGATTATAGGGAAAAAAGAAATGGGTTGTGTGTTGTGCTTTAGTGGGAATGTATAGGAAGGAGGGGTGGTTATTTCATATGTGATTGGATTTGAAAAGTTTTAGGGGGAAACTAGTTATAGTCTTTAGGCTTTTATAAAATTTTAGAAGGAGATGCATTAAAATTTGGTTGAGTTGGCTCCAAAAAAAAAGATAAAACAATTTTTTTAGTACATAGAACAATCAGTTATTTTTAATTTTTATTAATATGTAATAACGAATAATTAAAATGTTTCACCTTAAAAAAATACTATAAAAGCTTAAATAAACTTAAGATTCAAACAAAATAAATAAATATATATTTTTGTTATGAGATAACCAAAATCACTAAATAATACAAAATAAAGTATTACTAAAATAAAATGTTGAAGTGAAATTTCATCTACAAAGTAAAACAGGAAATTTAAAAAGTGTTTTAATACATAAAGGAAATACAGGATCAAAAAAATAAAAGTTTAAATGGAGGAGGAGAAACGTGTGTATATGATAGAAATTATGTAACATCCTTAATAAAATCACCACAAAAAATTTTATATTGTGGGGGTTAAAATAAAACGTCACAAATGAATTATTAGTGAAATTTTAAAAAATTCACACTAATTAATCGCCACAAATTAAGCATTTTTTTTGTGGCCAACAAGTTCACAGACAAAATTGTGAAATTAGATGGATTGCCTCTTAATTTATCATATAAAGAGTTTAGAAGATGTTTCAAGAAATGTGGAACAATTGAAGAAGTAAAACTTAGTAATGGCACGTGTAGAGGCGGAGTTAGAAATTTCATAAAAACTATCTAAAAATAGTAATTTATTATGTTAAGAATATCTAAAATATGTTATTTAATCTTTTTATGTATAAGGACATAGTCAATTAATAAATCAAAGTTCAAGAAATATTTTAACTCTTTTTCTTAAAAAGAATCTAACTACTCATCCATAAATCACCCTAACTTGCATGAAAATTTGAAAATTAGCCACCCATCAAAAAAGCGTATTTTCAATTTTTAAAAATCAATTATGTATTCTTCTAGTTTTCTCTTTTACTATTTTCCTAAATTTTGTTAGATGTTTGATTTATATTTTGAAAAGTACAAAGTACGCTTAATAAGAATAGAGTATGTTGGGTTATAACCTGCATTTTCAGGTAATTTAATTCACCCAATTTTAATTCAACATGTCTATTGACAGTGTACTAATTGTTATTGGTACTTAAAGTAATGAAAATTGAAATATTGTAAGACAAAAAGTAAAGAAATAAACTCCAATTTATCTTTGGGATACCAATTTATATTCCGCTCCTCACATGATTATTAATAAGATCCAGCCAGATAAAGCTTAGGAAGGTAGTTAAACCTCAATTCTCATAATAAATACACAAAAAGGTGTAAAATATCTTTGAAGTATTGAAAATGGTATAACATTACCCTTCATCCACCTATTGGCTCCAAAACGCCCTTTTCATCCACCTATTGGCTCCTAAATACCCTTGCCATCTACCTTTGAGTTCAAAATTGACCACTTATTTAATAATTTTATATTTAAACTATTTAAATATTTTTAAAATACTTGATGTTAAACTATTGGTTATAATTTGATTTATTTGTATTATTTATAAATCAACCCACTACCCACCCATTACTAACTAAACACCACCCAATTAATAATCCAACTATAATATCAAAATCGTTATAAACACTACTAAACCACGATGAAATTATAGATTAATGAAAATAAATCTAAATTATTTGAGTCCGAATTGAAGCCCCAATTAAATTTATGTTGAGCCACTTATTTAGGAGGACACTTTGATTTTGATTCTCTTTTAAGATTGAATTAGAAATTTATGATTAAAGTTAAAGAAGTAATACATCCCGAATTAATTCATGCTCTTTTTTAAAATATAATTTTATAAATATTTATGATTTGTTTTAAAACTTTTAATATATTATTTTGAAAAAAAGTTACCTAATGAAGTAACATCACATAATTGAGACGTAAGAATAATTAAGATGAACATAGTCAGACTTTTATGTTTATCATTTTTTTAGATACTTGAATATATGATAATTTACTTCTATAGATATTTTTGGTCTCAAATTTTTTAAAACACTCAATTGGCAGTAGTTTTTCTATTGTTGCATTAATAATATGAGTGATTTATTAATTTGGAGGGTTTAATTAATAATGGATGGGTAGTAGATTGATATATAAATTATACTAATAAGTTAACTTATAACAAATAGTTGAGCGCCACGTATTTAAAAAAATATTTAAATAGTTTAAATACAAAACCGTTAATTAAGTGGTCAATTTTGAACCAAAAGGTGGATGACAAGGGTATTTTGGACCCAATAGGTGGGTGAGAAGTGTATTTTTGAGCCAATAGGTGGGTGGAGGGTTATTTTGCATCATTTCCAATACTTTGAGTGTATTTTAGACCCTTTTCCGTGATAAATATAAGTACTAATCTCGAATATTTCTCAAATTTGTGAAATATTTGTAGAGAGATCAAAATCAATCATCGTAGTTTGAAGAATACGTCACTAAAAGATTTCAAATTAGGGATATCAAGTATAATCATCCTAGTTCCTCGAATCATAAATAAATCTTATGAGAGAAGAATCAAGGGGAAAAAATAATTGTAACCAAGAGTGGAGCAGAATTGTACTCAAAATTTTGATGAATAAAAGTAAAAATTATGTTTCTTTTAAAATTTATTTGTGTGGTTAATTTATTTTTAATATATTTATGAATAAAAATAAAATTCTGTTTCTTAAAAAAAATTTCAAAGTGCTATATATATATATATATATATATATATATATATATATATATATATATATA